TATTGACAGGCAAGGGGCGTGTTGAATGTTGTCCGGCAACGTCCAGCTCTTCCATTGTAAATGTCCAACAGTTGTGTTTTCTAAGCTTTTTTCAGATGTGGGCTTGAGGTTTTTGCAGCATCTATGACACGGAGAGATAGATTGGCCTGATCCTTAAATCAGGTCACATTGACGTCATCAAAGGACAGTTTTTACTCACACGCCTTTCTTTGGAAGAATCTGTCTCTGTTGCTCCTGTACCTATAATCCCAAGAAGAAACTGCGACTTGTGTGTCTCATTAGAGCTTTCGACATGTAAATTATGTAGGGGTACTTTAGGTGTGGTTTGTTCAATTGTTTTAACTATATAGAAGCTTGATGATGTGAGTTATTATTATATTATACGAAGATGACACTGCTTTCACTAATCTTATGATATTTGAAGTTATGAACACTGTTGAAAGACGTTTGGAAGTAGAATACAGTATATATTAAAAAAAAATATTATGGTAATATTCAGAATATGAATACAAACAAAATTAACTTTGGAAAATTAGGTGTTCTTATTCACGCAAACACAGTTGTGTTATCCAACAGGGGGAAAAGAAGAAAAAAAGGAACAAGACAACATTTTTAACCATACTACAAACAGAACGTAAGTTCTTCAAAATGTCTTAATCCAGAATCTGAAAATATTGAAGAACAAAAACAAAGAGAAGCAGAGTACGAAGAAAAAACCCAGTAAGGATAAATTGGAAAACCCACAGGGCTTCTTCTCTGGAAGTAGCAGACTTAACTTCAAACTCAAAAGCATTTCCGGTGAACAATTGACGGGCCTGACTCATCATATTCCGCTTTCGCGATCCACATCTGCAGAAAAATAAGAACACCAATCAGTCGAGGAATTCATTTGGTTTAGGAAAATGAGATTGATTGGATTAGTTACCTGCTGGAAGGTACTGAGAGAGGCCAAGATGGATCCTCCAATCCAGACTGAGTATTTCCTCTCGGGAGGTGCAACGACTTTGATCTTCATGCTGCTCGGTGCCAAAGCAGTGATCTCTTTGCTCATTCTGTCAGCAATTCCAGGGAACATGGTTGTTCCACCACTGAGCACAATGTTACCGTACAAGTCCTTTCTAATGTCAACATCACATTTCATTATGGAGTTGTAGGTGGTTTCATGGATACCGGCATTCTCCATACCGATCATCGATGGCTGGTAAAGAACCTCTGGGCAACGGAACCTCTCAGATCCAATGGTGATCACTTGTCCGTCAGGTAACTCATAGTTCTTCTCCACAGCAGAGCTAGTTTTAGCTGTCTCAAGCTCCTGCTCGTAGTCAAGAGCAATGTAGCAAAGCTTCTCCTTTATGTCTCTGACAATTTCACGCTCAGCTGTTGTGGTGAAAGAGTAACCACGCTCCGTGAGGATCTTCATCATAGCATCTGTAAGGTCACGACCTGCAAGATCAAGACGTAGAATGGCATGTGGAAGAGCATAACCCTCATAGATAGGGACCGTGTGGCTCACACCATCTCCAGAGTCAAGCACAATACCTACAACATAAATCAACAATTGTTTATAGACATTATCTTGAATCTGCAGAATAAAACAATGTAAAAGCATATCGGATTCTGAACTTACCAGTAGTACGACCACTGGCGTAAAGAGACAGGACAGCTTGAATGGCGACATACATGGCAGGAGCATTGAAAGTTTCAAACATGATTTGAGTCATCTTCTCACGGTTAGCTTTTGGGTTAAGAGGTGCTTCAGTGAGTAGAATCGGATGCTCCTCGGGAGCAACACGGAGCTCATTGTAGAAAGTATGATGCCAGATTTTCTCCATATCATCCCAATTGTTGACAATACCATGCTCAATCGGGTACTTGAGAGTTAGAATACCACGCTTGGATTGAGCTTCATCGCCAACATACGCATCCTTCTGCCCCATTCCAACCATCACTCCCGTGTGACGAGGACGACCCACAATACTTGGAAACACAGCCCTCGGTGCATCATCCCCAGCAAAACCAGCCTAAGTCAAAACCAGAACATAAAAAAACCACCTTTAGAGATATGGGCATATATAGCTACATTGTTCGTAAGATCAACGAAATCGGGTTTTGCTCTATACTTGGACCTAATCAAGGATATTCAAACGGGATTGATCCACAAAGACTCAATTTTTAATAATCCAATTTGAGGACTCACATGACAACAAGTTTTAGTTGAGTGATATGTGACAAAAGGTGAAAGAAGAAAAAAGAAAATGATTACCTTAACCATTCCAGTTCCATTGTCGCAGACAAGGGGTTGAATATCCTCACCATCAGCCATTTTCTATATTTCTGCAAATTAAGACCAATTTGGCAATAATTAAAATCGCAAATCAAAGCAAATGTTCTTTCTCAAATATGCTAAAAAACTAGTTAGAAGAATTTAGTATCTAAGCAATAACAACATTATATAATAACATAACAACAAATCAAGACAAAATCACAAAACCTTAAAAAAGGAATGTGACAAAATATTCCAGATCCAGAATCACGTTTATCAATTTTATATATTATTATAAAATAATAATATTAAAAACATCAAACAAGAGAAAATACTGCTTGCATTTTTAAGAACATACACCGATCTGTGTGTAAAAAAGGCAAAACGATTTCAAACAAAATCAGCGAAATCGGGAATTTGAGAAGAGGGGACAATTCAGGCTCTTGAAATTACCGGAAACGAGAGGGAAAACAAATAGATTAAAATGTTTGTCGCGGAACGAGAAATCTTGATTTGGAAAATTATTATTTCTATGA